AAGATTCCAAATCCTTTTTTGTCGTCAATCACATGTTGCTTTGACAAGACGAAAAGACGCGACCTTTCTGATTCCTCTCGACTTGGGTTTCTTGTTCCCGCCGCATTTTTTCTCTGTTTTTATCCGATCCCGTTGAGATCGGTGTTTTTTTCTCCTTCTGGGTTTGGTGGATCTTGATCGGGTCTAATCGTTGAAGATGACCATCCCTAATTCCACCGATTTCATTCTTGATAATGGAGTCTGTGATTTCCCGTCTACTCCTCAGGAAGAGAGACGTATCGTGTCGGACCTGACTACTGAGTCCGAGGATAATTTGAAGGAAGGGAATTTGTATTTTGTCATCTCCAAAAGGTCTCTCGTAGTTTGGATTTCTTATAGGCAATGGTCTTGATTCGAATGTTCAATACTTCCCTAAAATGGGAGGCATTTTTAGCTTTTAGTTGATTCTGCTTGGGGGTTTTGTGAGCTCGTGATCCATGCAGTTGTATCATGCATGATCTTTGTTGTCTGGCTCTTGTGTCATAGGAGTTGTGGAAAATGTAGGATAAGTAGAACTTAATCCTTCAATGGTACTGTGTGTGTTAATTGCTCTACAGATTGATTGATTGTTGTAATGCTTCCCTGCTCTGTGTAGACTGCCTTTTCTGTATCTGTGTTGTGATAGTCTTGTGACTCTGGATCTAAGATTCGGTAGTTTGATGGATTTGTTAGATAAGGTGAGGAATAATGTTTGTTTATCTGAAACTAGGATGTGATTGTTCTCCTTGTTGTGTGCATCCTGAATGTCTTCACCAACTCTTACTCGTAATTAACGTTTCTGTTAGTGCAGGTGGTACACTAGCTGGGAGAAATATGTTGAGCAATCAATGAATGAATGTTCAACTGGAGAGCCCTCGGAAGCTCCAAGGCCAGGACCAATTGAAAACCATGATATTATCAAAAGTACAAGCGACACTAGTGATCCTCAACTTCGTAAATTGCTGGTGGAAGGGGAAGACTACGTTCTAGTTCCTCAAGATGTTTGGAAAAGACTTCTCGAATGGTGACTATATTCTCTATTCGACCCTTTGATTACTGGGTTTTGGTCGATTGAATTGTGTTGTTAAGGCTGCATGACTGTTTCAGTTATTCTCTCGGCTTATATTATTGCTTTTCTACTGCACCTATCCTTTCGAGGGCATAATCTGGTTTTTATTATATCTGTCAGGTATAATGGCGGTCCTCCGATACCAAGGAAATTGATCTGTCAAGGGTTTTATAGTAGGAGTTTTAGTGTAGAGGTTTACCCCCTCTGCCTTATGTTGATAGACGGAAGAGATGAAAGTAGAACTGCGATACGGCTGGGAAAACAGGTATAGGTGACCCATCATACTACTCATGCACTTAGTTTTGCTACAAGTTACTTGTGGTGCTTATGCATAGCCAAAACCCACTTTGGTCCCTTGCTTACATAGTTTTTTGGTATTTCAGGCCTCTATAAAGGAACTTTATGAGAAGGTTTGTGCTATGACAGGGGTACCACAAGAAAAGGTGTGTGCAAAGTTTTTCTTACTTTGTCTAGTTTTTGCTGATGAAATACACATTTTTTAAGATGGAGATGTGTTCTTTGGTTCTCAATCATATGTATAAGCAGGCTCTCATTTGGGATTACTTTGATAAGAAGAAAAACTTACTCTTGGATTCTTCATCTGACAAGAGCCTGGAGGAGTCAAGCCTTCAAATGGACCAAGATGTAAGTATCTAGAGAATTGTCTGTTATAGTTTTATGACAATCCGTGACGAATCACCTTTGTCTCTTGCCCTCCGGTTTGTCATAAAATTGATTTTGGGTCATTGTCTAGATTAGAATCTTCCCTGACGAATATCTTGTTGTGAGGAACTCGTTGGATACTGCATCCCTCTTGAGTTCTTTTACTGTGACTCAAACTAAATCCCATTGAACTCGCTTATACTCAATGTTTGGTTTTTTTTGTTCTGACACTGTCTGGGTGCATCACATGCAGATTCTTCTTGAACTTGATGAGTCCTCTTCTTCTAAGTATGCTATGAGCTCAGCAGGAAATGAGCTAGCTCTGGTACCTCTGGAACCTTCAAGGTCGTGCATTACAATTGCTGGAGGCCCTGCCCTATCTAATGGTCATTCCACCACATCCAAGTTTAGTCTCTTTCCGAGAATCACTTCTGAAGATGATGGCTGGGATTCTTTGAGTATTCTTGGAAAAGGAGAGAGGGGAGGATTAGCAGGATTGAGTAACTTGGGAAATACCTGCTTTATGAATAGCGCTCTTCAATGTTTGGCCCACACACCTCCGATTGTTGAATACTTCTTGCAAGATTACAGTGATGACATAAATAGAGATAATCCTTTGGGAATGTCTGTAAGTGCTTGATATTTATTGCCATTTTTATTTTCTTATGTGAAGGTATTCATACACATCCTAAATAGAATTTCTAACACTTTAACTATCCAGGGTGAGCTTGCCATTGCATTTGGTGAACTGTTGAAGAAATTGTGGTCATCCGGAATGAATGCAGTCGCACCGCGTTCTTTTAAGACAAAACTGGCTAGATTTGCTCCACAGTTTAGTGGTTACAATCAGCATGATTCTCAAGTTAGTCATTTCCTTTAGCAAAT